GGTCTGGGACCAGCCCCCTAGATCTCTCCACTGATTCCATTTTCTATCTATTTGAGTCCTTGGTATAAGCTCCTCTTTTCCCCTCCTGCCCTCATGAATCCTTATCAATTATATTTTCTTATTATTTCTTATCTTACACTATTGTCTCCCTTTACCCACATTTCTGTTATTTGTCCTCTTGGCAGCTATATATCCAACCTTGTGATGGGTTCCCCCTTTCTCCCTCTTTACCCTTCCTGACCATCCCCCTGCCCTCATGGGAAAGTGGTTTTTATTATTAATTGGTAGTTAATACATACAGCATATCAATCCATAATTCAGTCACATCAAGCAGCATTATACAATTGCTTCCACAATCAGTTTCCAACCTACTTTTTCTTCCTGGACCCCTTGACCTCATCTCCCTTTTACCCCACTGCTACTGCTGTACCCCACCCACCCCGAAATCCTTACTTGGCTTGCTGTGCCTATATGGTCATCAATCCATCCTGGGTTTCATAAACCGAGACAAAGAAAAACAAAATACAAAAAAGAAAAGCAAAATACAACTTAATGAGGGTGACCTCCAATGACATAACACCTCTGATATGAATAAACAAAAATACAGAAAATGAAACCCAGATCAGGTCCCGCATGCATGAGAGGGAGAATCAACTGACAAAGTTTTAACTGTTCAAATCAGATTTATGCCTTTGATATTCTATACTCATCTGTCCAATGCACTGTTTAGTAACTAACCACTTTCCTCCCGTCCCTCAGTTGTGCATAGAGGGAGTTCACTGGAGCCTTATTTTTTATGTAGTTCCCACAAATGAATCTTGGGCTCCCACTGTCATCCATAGCTTTCTGTAAACCAGATTCTCACAATTTAGGCTCTGGTACTAATCCCTCCAACTTCGGATTATGATTTGCAGTCCTTTGGTGGAGGTGTACTTCTTTCATGTGGAAAGTAGGGGGGTTGTTTTGTTTGGGTCATTTTGTTTGGGGCGCTTACGTTTCATACATCAATTGTATCAAGTATATTTGTACATATGCTGCCATCATTTCCAAAACATTTTTTTTTCTTTCTTTTTTTTTTTTAGTGAGTGAGAGAGTGAGTGAATTAGAGTGAGGGAGTGAGTGAGTCAGTGAATGAGAGTGAGTGAGTGAGTGAATTTGAATGAGTCAGTGAATGAGAGTGAGTCCCAAAACATTTTCTACTTGAGCCCTTGGTATAAGCTCCTTGACCCCCTCCTTCCCCCACCCTCATGAATCCTTGATTATATATTATTTCATGTCTTACGCTGTCTGTTGTACCCCTCCACCCATATTTCTGTTAAATTTCCCCTC